TATATGTTTTTTTCTCTCTTTCTCTTCTAGGTCATTTTACACTCGGGAAAAAATGATACCACCAGGTGTGTGATTGCACATGTACCTTGTTGGTACCTCCTGTCATTAGTCACAACAACCCAATGCACAGTCTGTCATTGTAGAACCTAGGCAGATGTGAGAATTCCTGTATTAATTCGAGCATCCCGCCAGTGTTCTCCCCAAAGCAAATTTCTCTCCCATTTTTTTCAAGTGGGGCAAAGGGAGAACCCTTGGTTCCCTTGTCCCAAGCCGCAGGGGCGGCTGGTGTGAAGAGTTTCCCTGTCAGAACAGTGCCATTCCATTGGTATACAACCACGTGCACCCACCCCTCTTTTGGAAGTAGGGCTGTGGTTTTGCTGGTACATGCCACCCCAGTATGTTATAAACCAAGGGATGCCCAGTGGTTAGTGCTACCGGATGGGTCTTATGCTCTCCTTGGGAAACAAGTCTGGGGTTTTTCTCCTTGCACCTGATTATTGTGATAAGTATTTTGCATATTTTTCCAATATGCCTCACTGGACTATCCTCCCATGTGGGGGACACGCTATACTGGCTTACTCTTTCTGAGCTATTTTTTCAGAAAAATAGCATCTTTATAATGTCTCTATCTGCACTAACTTTTATTAAAGTTATATGTTGCATGTATAAATAGCGTTTCAGACAAACGTCTGTTTCATTGTTTAGCCCAAGTAATGAGTTCTGATAGTCAATTTACTTGATTTTTGTCACAAATTTTAGACCGATTGGTTCCCAATGCTTCACCGGCTTTCGGCGTTTAAATCGTTAAATTGGGGTTTTACAAGTGATCCCCCCAGTGGTTATGCAATAAGTCTGAAGGCTTTTAACACTAAAGACCGGGTTTCGATACCCATATTGAGCACAACACGGACAGTCCATTGTGTGGCTGTGTGCTTAACAAACAAACAAATATATAAATTTGCGTGTAACGAAAGGTTAGAAACTTCTTTTTCTAAAAGTGTAGTTGAATCTGTTCTGACTTGTTGTGTGATGTCGTTCAGTTTGATTTTGTATGATAGTTATTACAATTATAATTTGTTAATAATATTCATAAAAAACGTAAATAATATGGTAAATCTTACTGTTTTCCGTTGTAAGTGAATACAGATTTTAAAATTTTACACCTGTATTGACATTGTATCTCCCCCCCCCCCCACAGATACACGTGGTGGGCACAGCACAAATAGCCCATTGTATAGCTTTGCGCTTAACAACAAACAAACAATCGTCTCTCTTCGAACCAAATCCTGTAACGCTTTTTTTCTTATTCTCAGTTGTATGACTCTTGCTCCTTAACTGTTCTGAATTTAGATGTGCTAGTCGGTCGACTTTAATAAGGTTTGTTGCTTCAGAAAGTCGTAAATTCAAGAACATTTGTGTTGATAAACAACAACAAAGACAAACGCATTTTAGTCGTTTGGTTAGTTATGCATGACAATTCCAGATATCAGCACCACTATGCAGAATAATGTTAACCAAAATAATCCTACATAAATATAGTTTTTGATAAAAACGAATAATCTGTTTTGTATTTTTTTTTTGAAGTGTATCTGAATACAGAACAAATAATAAATAACTGCACAATGTTTGTGGCTGCCCTACGGCCGGCTGCTTGTGCTAGTATTTACTAATCGTTGTACTAATAATTTATTGAATAAAATTTAGAAAAAATGAACATTTTCTAAAAAAAATGAATTTTTGTGGGAAGTACTGCACGGGAAAAGTGTTAGAATTGTGCTGATGTAAACTGTAATGTTTTTATATATTAAAAGTGGTTCACTTTATTGAAAGCATTTTTTTAAGAACTCCAATTTTTATTACTGTATTTACCAATTACATCAATAAAAATAAATTAAACCCTCACGTACAGTCCCAGTGAAAATCGAATTGTTGTACATACCGTAGTTATCTTTCGAATTGCCTGAATCTTGAATACCCAAAGTATGAAATTTTTTATGGATTTATGTTTATGGTGCCATTTAATAGATGGCGCCACATTGTATTTAGTATTTCGGTCACATACATATATGCACGCTACGTCCATTATATTAAGATGACAGTACTTTCACCAGAAATAATGGCTCGGCATGACCAGGTGGTTAGGGAGCTCGACTCGCAATCTGAGGGTCGCGGGTTCGAATCTCCGTCCCACTAAACATGCTCGCCCTTTCAGCCGTGGGGGCGTTATTATGTGACGGTCAATCTCACTATTCGTTGGTAAAAGAGTAACCCAAGAGTTGGCGGTGGGTGGTGATGACTAGCTGCCTTCCCTCCAGTCTTACACTGCTGAATTGGGGACGGCTAGCGCAGATAGCCCTCGTGTAGCTTTGCGCGAAATTCAAAACAAACAAACAAATAATCACCAGATATAAATGTATATCTGTGAGCACTTCAAAATTAAGTTTGTTCGTGTGTTTATATGCATTATAACAGTAAATAAATTATTTGTGAAAATGCATATTTGATACTAGTTTCTTTCATTTCATCTAATTCATATTTCACTCTTTTTTTTTTTTTCGAATTAACTTGCCAGCCAAAATCCCGAGGAATCTGTATCTGGCTCTTGCAGTACCAAGAGTTCCTTAGTACCGTAACAGCCAGATTCTAGAAAGTGCTTTCTCTTTTTTAAAATTTGGGGGTGTGAAAGTTCTTGTGTACAAGTATTTTGTTTTCATCCGTTTGACCTCACTAAGTTATGTAACAGAATTACTGATACTGCCGTGTATTCCCATCATTTGTGTGTTCTTTTTCTCTTAGTGGAAAGAAAGGTGGTAACTCACAATCACTGAGTCAGTGCTTTATTCCATATTTTGAAATTCCAAAGGGCATAAAGGAATTGCCAATGTACTTAAGACATGGTTTATACTCTCCTCTAAACAAAGATAGAGAGAGGGGCCAGCTTTAATATATTTGGGTATCCGTAAATGTGAGTTCATATTTTTTGTCATTTGTGTTATTTGCTCAAGGTGTACCAGTTAATGTGTATCTAGTTTACTCGTATGAATAAAGCAAACTATCAATATGGAGTTGTAAATACATGCTATTGACATATTTCTAGTGACCAAGAAATTTTTACCTGCAAACTTTTCATAGAAATATTAACGTTATATACGTGTTTTGTGTGTGTATAGAGATGATTTTTACCTTCATACAATGTACAGTGCAACCACTTTCCAAGTTTGAAGGCAGCCTGTTTTGATGTTACAAAAAGGTAATACAAAACTACGTGTGGTTTACATAGCGCACGTGCAACGTTCAGTTGAGCGTGACATTTAACATAAAAGATTATACAGTGACGTATACATATTAATTTGGGCCCAAACTGAAAGGTGATTTATATATATAGTGTATTCATATGTTCGTAATGTATTCCTGTTTGATGCGCGTGTTATTCATCGGATGTAAAAATAAACAATCCCGCGAAATATGAAGGTGTTCTATTGTGTTAGTTGTAGTGGAACCAGAGAAAATGCCTTGCATTGTGTGTGTGTGTGTGTGTATATATATATATATATATATATATATATACTACACACACACACACACACACTATATATATATATATATATATATATATATAGTGGATCGCGTCTACTTCTTTGTTTGTTAGTAGTTAGTTACGTAGTAGTAGTACTATACTAA